GTTATAACTTGTCGCTTGAATGCTTATTGTCTTGGCTCTTTTAATGCTACTTTATGTATCTGGTCGTCGCTGATTGTTATGTCGGGAACGTTTATCACTTATACTCGGAACGAGGGACCTCTGCAATTCCCATGACTCGAAAATAAGAACACAAAGACTGGTATAAGTGATGATTTATTAACTCTAAAACACGACGATGACGACGACTCTAGTAGAAAATGCACTCACTTATATATTGATTGTACACTCATTTTGATTAATAATTAGGATGAACTCACATATATGAAAAATACTTAGAGCAATAATAAATCACAGACTGAGCATAGTTTGTGTCAATGGAATACAAGAATATCGTATATTATACAAGAAGAGAAAACAAATACTACATAGAGTAATCATTACACTGAATCAAAACGGAAGTAATGTTGAACAAAACTCATAATGAGTAAATCAATCGAAAATTGGGTTTTCTTTACATCATGTCAGTATAAATCACCAGAACCGACACAAGAAAACTGGAAACTCAAGTGTATAGGAAGCCAACTCATATAGATCAAATTGTTAACTACAGTAGCAACAACCCAAGAGCTTACAAAATCAACTGTGCACGCACTTTGTTCAAGAGGGTGACGATACACTGCAGCACACTGGCAGCACGAAAAAATGAAGAGAAATACCCTATAATTGTCTTTTAAAAGAACGACTACCCAATAAATTTTATCAAAAAACACCATCTGCACGCAATAACAGAAACTAAGTCAAGCACAGAAACCAACAAAAGGATCACCTAACCATACATAAAAGGTATATCAGAAACGACACTGCTGAAAACCTTCAGAATAGGTGTTGCACACAAACCGGCAAAAACACTATAATCAATCCTATGCAAATCAAAGGATGAAATGACAAAAGAAGACAAACCAAACATCATCTACAAAATAAATTGTTCCAACTGCGGAAAACACTACATCGGACAAAGCGGACGCCCTCTTCACCTTCGCCTGAATGAACATCAATTAGCAGTCAAACGCCATGACACTTCCTCATTTATATCAATACACGTGTACAACTGCGGACATTCCTATGACTGGAAAAATGTGAAAATCTTGGATAGAGAAAATTCCAAAGACACCACAAAATTTTTAGAAGCTTGACACTCAGGTTAATCAGCAATCAACAAGCACATTCAAATCGACCGAATTTCTCAATCAATCAAGAAAATTATGCACAATTATAGGAACAAAAATCAAACCAATGGGAGACACAACCAAAACAAAGAAGTAAACAATGACAAATTTAAGGTCAATAAGAACCAATCAACGTCGAGGTGTAGAGAAGAAGCTGTGAACCACATGTGGAGAAATTCGAACACTTCACTTCGACCTGAAGTTTGTGATGATGGTGTCGTATTCAGAAGAACTCTGGAAGCTCGACGACCAAACCATCCAGTTCAGAGAACAAAACATCAAAATCGATCTACAGTCAAATAACAACTGGTGGTTAAATTACTATTTGTTTGCATATTTTCTTCAATGATTACAAATGTACCTAACTGGCTAGTGTCAAATAGTGAAATAATAGACCGAGAGCTTTCTTTCGACTACTTTCAAACATCCGAAATTGTTTTTCATACCCAGAATGATCTATTTTGATTTGAAATGTAAACATTTTAATGTTTGATCCGGCTCTAAGTCTATACTATATTCTAGTTATTTAATTCCCATTATTTCTAATGAATTCTGTCGAAAGACCGTTTTAAATTCATTTCAATTTGATATGTTAGCATTGAACATCTTGATGAAAGATTCAAATAAACTTAGAGACTAATCTACATATGAACTGATGTAATCATTAAGATTGGAGAAAATTACGCTTATTTATATCTTATTTGCAACTTGTTAGCTATTCTCCATCACGACTTTGAAAAGCGAGCTATAACCAACCACTACATGTCTAATGATAAGTAAATAAGCTTCAGGCTACATTAAATTGACATCAACAATCCTGTATTTTTAACGTTTGTCAGTTTGTAGCATAGTAGAGCAGTTATTGTGTGCTATCATGGAATGAATTTCATAATTTGTAAATTCTTTGATTGAAATCATGTATCAATTAATGTTAGATCACTATTGGAAACCTGAAAGCACTGGACAATCCTTTCGTCCTTGTATGGGACACCTCAGCAGTGCGGCATCCATGATTCTGCTCACAGGAGTCGAACTCAGGACTTTCATTCTCGCGTGCGAACGCTTGACCTCTAGACCATTGAGTTGGACTGCATCCAAAGGTGTTAATGTCTAACTTCAACCAATTCACGAAATTGCTTGACCATTTTCTATTATTTAAGGTAGATACATGTCTCTGCCCGACATGGATTAATTGCACTGACTACAACATCATATTTGGACGTTGAGGAGGCATGTTCATACTATTCGATTATAAAGAAACAATTTATTAATTCAATTTGTTTATAAATATTAATCAGCTATAACATCAAAGTGATTAGATCTAGTGTTTTCACTTAACTGTTTTCGAATGTTATCATCATTTTTTTGTGTATAGAAACTGTTATATCTACAGCTTAGATTCTTAATAGACCGCGTATAACTTAAACAATCGAATGCTGGAACCCTCGAAGTCGCAAATAACACATAAATATTCTGGGAAGCTTTATTTCGTTCTGACTGGATGAAACTGTTCGGCTCATCTAGGGTGTCTGGAGACTCCGTCGTCGTTTTCGGAAGCCATCCCAACAGAAAGATTATAGAAAACATTTATTCGATGCAGGTTTAAAGTATTAATCAGTACTAATACAAAAATATATTCACCGAAAGACGATAGTTTATTTGCACAATTGAAAGATTGTAATGGATGATAGGAACCATAATATTATTAAAATTAAATGTATAACTTGAAGTATTCTTAATAATCACTGATTTCATTGTTGACACAATAAGAATAGTTCAGTGTGTTCATCAGTTAGTATACCAACTTACTTGTGGCTGTCACCTTTCGTGAACGAGAACAGACCGCCCACCAGGATCATCATCACTTCTGATATTTAATGAAGAAAAGGAACAATTTATCATAATTTGTAAAGTACATAAGAATATTGGAACATTCAAATGATGAATTCAATTTGGGACTGTATTTGATGAGTCCCTTGTTAACATATGTGCATCCTGATTGAATTGCCTCGATATGACCTCTGCTAATAATGCTTATGGTTTAAGACAATAAGATGCATGGAGAACAGTTGACAAAGTCGTTCGAAGTACAGACCGGTGTCAGGCAAGGTTGCTTACTTTAACCCTTCCTCTTTCTCCTGGTGATCGACTGGATCGCGAAGACGTCAACATCTGAAGGGCAACACGGGATACAGTGGACATCTAGGATGGAGTCGCACGATCTAGAATCTACAAACGATCTGGCCCTTATATCGCAAACGCAACAACAAATGCAGGAGAAGACGACCAGTATAGCAACAGCGTCAGCAGCAGTAGGTCTCAATATACACAAAGGGAAAAGCAAGATTATCCGACACAACACAGAATGCACCAATCCAATCACAATTGACGAAGATTTGGAAGATGTAAAAACCTTTACATATTTGGGCAGCATCATCGATGAACAAGGTGGATCTGATGCAGATGTGAAAGGGCGGATCGGCAAAGCAAGAGCAGCATATTTACAAATGAGGAAACTCTGGAACTCAAAGCGACTGTCAACCAACACCAAGGTCTGGATTTTCAATACAAATATCAAGACAGTGCAACTGTATGAGGCGGAAACTTGGAGAACTACGAAAGCCATCATCCAGAAGATACAGGTGTTTATTAACAGTCGTCTACGCAAAATACTTCGGATCCGTTGGCCAGACACTATTACCAACAACCTAATGTGGGAAAGAACAAACCAGATCCCAGCGGAGGAAGAAATCAGGAAGAGGCGCTGGAAGTGGATAGGACACACATTGAGGAAAGCACACAAATGCGTCACAAAACAAGCTCTTACTTGGAATACTCAGGACCAAAGGAGGAGAGGAAGACCAAAGAAATGGAGACAGACATGAGAAAAATAAACAAAAATTGGATGGAACTAGAAAAGAGGGCCCAGGACAGAGTGGTTTGGAGAATGCTGGTTGGCGGTCTATACTCCATCTAGGGTAAAGGGCCTAAATATAGTAAGTAAAGAATACCAATAACAGATTAATCAGTTACAGTACTAAACATCAATGGGAAGATTCAAATGACCAATACAAAAATGAATTAAACATTACCACATTATACAAACTAATGAACAACTAGATTCAGTAGGTAAATGGACAACATGATGATGATGATGCTGTTTGAAGTGAACAGTATTTAATTCAAGTCTTAGAATAAATATCAACATTGAGATTCAGGTATATTCATCTAACAAGTCCTAAATAAGACGAAACACAAATTCTTGATTTCACTACTATCTATCTATCTATCATCTATCTCTGTTTATATTGAAATGATGGTATAGGTAATGAAAAACAAAACCCCACTCAATTCTACTATTTGTAACATTCTTCAAGTAGTACACATTAATCACATAACGAATAACCCCCCATACCACCCCATACTTTACATTCATTAAAATTTAACTCAATTTAGTAGTAACTAACTGAATTTATCATGAGTTCATGATTATGTATCCAGCAACAACCAAAACAAAAAAAAAAAACTCCTATCAATTAATGATAATGACTTTCATAATTCTATAATAAGAATCATCTTCCTTTTATGGAGAATCTTCATATACTTAGATCAAGTGTTATTGTATTATAAAAATGTAATACAAACTTAAGTAGTATGTTTTATTGAAAGAAAACTCTTGTCTTATCCTTTATTGAATGAATGCTCTTTATGTCTATTTTGTATGATTACGTAATTATGTAAGTAATTGTATAACACTTATTACATTATAGTATAAATAGTATTATTATTATGATTATGATTATTCATAAATAGGTAGACACTAGGAAGATCTTTTCAAGTGACATAGTTACATAATTATGAAATTTATGAATATTATTACTATTTTATTTCTTTTTGGGATTTTTATTTCAATTCATGGATATCCAGGTAGGTTTCTATGATGAATTTATTTAGTTATACACTTTTTTTCCCTCTAAACTTAAGTTGTTGTTGCTTCACGACTGGCTTATGTCAACACTTGAACTAAGGTTAGAGAGTAATGAAGTAGTCGGATGTGTTGAAAACTTTGTTTAATATCAGAATGGGTTTTGTGGAGATGTTTAGAAATTTCACTGGTTGGTTGAAGTTAGACATTAACACCATTGGGTGTCGACCAGCTCAATGGTTTAATTGGTTAAGCGCCTGGCGTGAGACTGGTAGGTCCTGGGTTCGGACCTCGTAGGGGGTGGGATCGTGGATGCTCAGTGCAGAAAAGTCCCATACCAGGACGAAACGGTCGTCCAGTGCTTCCATATTTTCCCTGGTGGTCTAGCTTCAACTGACTCATGATTTTAACCAGTGAAACTTTATTTTACTTGGAAATGTGAACAACTCTAATGAGCTGATGTTTAATGAAATCTCTGCATGGATTCAGAAAGCCTGTTTGAAGTTTTGACAACTAATGTGATATATAGCGAAGGAGATATATCTGTTTACCAGTTCAAGAATGAGTGTACTGTAAGGCAGTTCGTTCTGTTCTACTTTACGGCTGTGAAACGTGTTTATCAAGAGTAGAAGATACTCATAAGCTACTATAATTTGATCATAGATATTTTAGAAATATTGCTCGTATCTACTGGGATCACCGGGTAAATAATAGTGGTGTTGGACGTAGGATATCAGGGAATAATGGTAATTTGATGAGATTGTGAATCTTCATCAACTGAGATGGTTGAGTCGCATGTTACGTTTGCCTGAACATCGATAACCACGACGCGCGATGCTGACTAGTGATGGAGACGGCTTAAAGAAAGTTAGGTGAGGCCAAACCAAAACATGGCATCAGTGTTTAGAGTCACTTACTTCTAGTGTGAGCCATGTTGGTGGATGAAGACTACTTGGTTAGGGACTATGGGTGACATGGCTTCGAATCGATCACATTGGCCTAGGTGTATACATTCTTTATCTTACCTTAAACCGTGAGATTAAAATTACTTTCTACAGACTAACTTGTGAAATGTGGTGAGATTCGATTCATTTTTGTATTAGACGTTTCAATCTTCCCATCGATGTTTAAGACTGTAATTGATTAGTCTTTTATTGACATATGTGCATCGCGTTCAGATCGCCTCGATATTCATAAATAGTACAATAGTGAACATGAAAAATAACACTTTCGAGTAACATAGTTATATAATTATTAAATTCATAAATATTGTTACCGTTCTATTTCTTTCTGGGATTTTGATTTCAATTCAAGATTATCGAGGTAGGCTTTTTCATTTTTATTGTATTTGAATGACATTCCTCTATATTCCGGTTAATATTAAAACTAACGTAGTTTATTCTCTCATTCCCCGAAATGCCCTAGTACAGCCGAGAGTGGGGAGAAACCGCCTTCCCGCCACAAATGCTCTGACATGACCACGTGAATACAGCCACTGTCACGGAATTCCTACTCACTGCCTTCTCACGATGGAGTGTTATTCACGATATTGAGTGGAGGAAAAGTGAATGCTCGACGCCTTTCACCATATTGATGGATATGGAGGATCCACGCCATTTAATTTGAAAACCCTGATTCCAAACCAGTGTTGAACATATGCTCCAGTAATCTGAGGGAACAAATGGCATACGAACCAATCACTGGCCACCGACTACAATGAGACTACATCTCCTTACATTGCTCCACTGTCTTGTGTATTGGACCTTTAAGTCAAAGGCTCAGCAAGTGGTCCCATAACAAAACCACCTGCTTCGGTTTGCACACCCGAACAGTATCCCAGCTTACACACAAATCGAATGATTTATGTGGAGTATATCTATTTGGTCCCTCCTTGTACCTATGTTTATGTGTTTGAATAAAATAATGATGACACAAATACTACTAAATGTAAAATCATTCAAAATCATTCAGAAAATGCACTTCAAACTGTTTTAAGCTAATTTTATCCTAGAATTCACTCGGTATTCTTGACTTAAATCTTCCCATTGATGTTAAAGATGGCAACTGATCAATCTCTTATTGGTATATGTGCCATACTATGCATATTGCCTCAATATTGTTTTAATTCACAAGGATTCTCAGCAAAGATGAATGATGATTAGTAGTGGAATCTAATTTAATGCATGTTTCATTCTATTTGTGAGTCATCAACTTGATATAACTGCATCTTATGGTTGATGATAAGTTTATCCTGTTTCAAGCCATCTCAAATATTATTCATAATGATATTCCATAATTGTTTAAGCAGAGCTCTACTGTTATTAACTCATGGATACTCATTCTGAATACATAAGTCACAATCTAACTTATATAGTAACCATTATCATGATTTTGTTGCTTTGAATAGTGTTTAAAGTATCCACAATTATTATGTAATTTTCATTAAAGACGAATACCCGAAGTAAGCTGATGAATAATTTATTATTATCATTTGTATCAGAAGGGGTTTTGTGGGTGGATATTATGGTGATTTCAATAGTTGAAGTCATGAGTCAATTGAAGTTAGATCACCATGGAAAACCTGGTAGTATTGGACAGCTGTTTCATCTTATTTGTTTATGTCTTTAGAAATGTACAAACTTGTGAAACATTTGTAAACTATTAATGTTATCGTTAAATATATTAATCTTTAGTATCAGAAGGGGTTTTGTGGAGATTGTAGTAAATTCAATAGTTGAGATCATGAGTCAATTGAATCTAGTTGAAGCTAGACATTAACACCGTTAAATACTGGCCGGCTAGTTGGTTAAGCGCCTGGCTCGAGACTGATAGGTCCCGAGTTCGAATCCCGCAATGTGGGCTCGTGAGTGTGCAGTGCTGAGGAGTTCTACAATAGAACGGAACGGCCGTCCAGTGCTTCCAGGTTTCCCATGGTGGTCTAGCTTCAATTAACTCGTGATCTCAACTGTTGAAATATATTATCTTATTTTTTTGTAGGGTTAGTGAACAATTACAACAACCGTAAGTTTGTTATCATGGTATTTGTTGTTATTTTTAGTGTCCTTAATCTGATAATGAATTACAGTGTGGTACGCACTAACTTTCCACCGCCATCAGCTAACTACTGGAACGAGAAAGTGTATTTGACTACTGAGTGAAATGCACAAATAGTCGTTCATGTACATATATATCAGTTTATTCTTAGGAAATTATCCCATTGACTCTCATGAAATGTACTTGAGCTTTACGTCATTTCTGATTGCCATCGATTGACATTCCCGTTAGGCTACTTCTGATTGGCTCTACATATCAGTATTTCAATTCCATGATTTCAGTTTTTCAGTGTATATTATGAGTATAAGATTTATTTATACGTAGAACGATCTAGAAGTTAAGGGTTCGCATGCAAAGTTAAAGAACCTGAGTTCGAGTCATGCATGCGAGATTGTGGATTTGCACTGCTGAGGAGTCCCATACTAGAATCGAGTGGCTGTTCAGTGCTTCCAGGTTTTCAGTGGTAGCCTAGTTTATATTAACTCATGAATTCAACTGTTAAAATAAAACATAGCAGACAGATAATGGAAGTTAAATGGATGATTATTAAGATGTACAGATACCATTCAAAAATACAGTAGATATATTTAGGTGATATATATATATATAATAAATAGCGGTAAGATTATAGATTATGGACGACGTTTGAGCAACGCTAGATTGACCTTGAGAGTGTTTAGCTAATAACTAAGACCAAATAAGGGTTATAAACCAGTGTGAGGAATTATAATTATGATTGACAATTGATGGTTAAGGTTAGAAATTAGGTTTAGTGTTTTCATCATGAACTAACATCAGCTATAATGCTAAAACGTTATTTAACCAAATGGATGAATGAATTTCGCACCAAAATCCGAGACCTGTTATCTTATGTCTGATTGGTTTGTCCATATATTATAGTCTCGTTCAAATAGTTTTATAAAATAGTAATTGAATAGAGAGGTCGATTATAAATATAGTGGTCTTGAGTGCTGTTAGAGGTATGAGGGAGGTTATAAGTTCCAGTTGCCCACCCCATGGAAGGGTTTTTCTGAAGGTAGCTAAAAAAGAATTTGGATTAGGGGTGGTCTTAATGATCCGAGAGTGTGACGGTAGTACTCAAAAAACAACTGCTTGGAGTCGGTCACATACGACCTTTTTGTGAGTAATTTTCATATTAGCTCCGTACTTGTTGAGACCTTACCGCTGGAGACGGATTTCTGTGGAATAAGGCGAGGTGTGCATTTTTATGGTCAACCTTTTCTAAACCCACTTCTCCTTGTGAGAAGGCAGCATCGCTGTCATGTTGGTTGTCTGAAGGAAACACCTTACTGCCGTCACACCTCTGTGCAGTCAGCAGTACGACTTCACCTTCGGACCTTGAGTTTATTGCTTTTAGTCATACTGCTCTTCAACCGACCTGTCTGGCATGGTAGGACCTTGAGGAATGATTGTTCTAGCCACTATAACTCGGTTGCTTCATCACAATAGGGAAGCCCGACCACCACGTCAAGGTAGGTAGCAACAACGGTTGAATCGGTCTCCTACGTCGTAGCTGACTGACTGACTGAGCCTTATAAAATAGAAATAATGACGTTACTTGACTTGTTTAAATGATGAACAAGACTTTAATAAGTATTAATTCTTTATTTATTTCTAAATTAACACAATACATTTTATAAATTTAGGAAAAGTAGTGGGCTATGGTATGTCACCGACAGTAAACGTTTTCGTAATGGTTATTTGATTAGAATGAATTATTAGAATAGAATATATCACTGATATTGTTTAGCTTTTGCTTACAAGTATGATTGATTGATAGCTTTACCTAGACACATTGATGATGATAATTTAACTATAAATTTGCCTATGTATTTGCTAACACATACATAATCGTCTGTCAGCTTGAAATTCGCTTGATGTCTTATCTGCTAATAAACTGGTGTTACCGCTGCTCATTGCCTTCTGGTTTGAAATACCGTTGAAATTTACATTATAATCGTTATCGAGGTGATTGATTAACGAAGCAAAGCCACTACAGGCACATCTTACAACTCTACTGTTATTAATTGTTAATCGGCCAAAATAAGTTGAATAGATTGTGAGCCAGCCATACAGACATAATTAAAATAACATTATTTTGAAAGACTTACTTACTTACTTACTTATGCCTGTTACTCTTCGTGAAGCAGCATAGGCCGCCCACCAGCGCTCTCCATCCAACCATATCATGAGCAAATATTTCCAGCTCTTTCCAGTTGTTATTCATCCTTTTCACGTCTGTTTCTATTTCTCGACGTAATGTACTATTTGACCTTTCTCTTTCCTTGAGGATTTCAAGTTAGGACTTGTCTCGTGATGTTGTAGTATGGCGATTGCCGTTATATAAGCCCTATCCACTTCTAATGTCTTTTCCTAATTTTAAAAGAGAAACAATTTATATCCAGTATGAGTTGATTCAATATGAAACATCATCATTTATACAGCATGAATTTGTGTATTGAGATCTTTTGGCATCTACCATGAAACTATGTTTCTGACAATGTTTCACTTACGATTGATTTGTTAACATACCATTAAATTATACTATTGGAAGTAATGAACTAATGTACTGTGTATTTCTAATGTCTATCATGTATTGCTCTCAGTTAAGGTATCATTATAAACTAGAAAGTACTAAGTTCTATACATTTCAAACTTCAGTACATTCATTTCAAAGTGTATTAATCATTCAATTCTATCATTATTGTGTTGAATGTTTTTACTTTACTTTTCATATACAATAGGGGATTTTTCGGCAGTTTATTGTAAGCTTTCTAAATAGATTGTTTTATCATCTTAACCCCCATGAATTGTAGTTTACATGAATATAACAACCCTAAATTCACTTGGTATTGTTTACTTGCATTTTCCCATTGTTATTTAGGACTGCAATTGATCAGTCTCTTATTGGCATATATGCATCCTGTGCGAATCGTATCGATATTGCTTTAACTCACAAGCTTTATAAGCAAAGATGAATGATGAGTAGTAAAAAAGTCCAGTTTAACGCTTATTTCGTCCTAGCTAAGTGGATAACGTGATAGCATTTTAAGTGACCGGTACTAGGTCCGAGTCTTGGAGTAAACATCAACTTCGAGATGCAGGTGCATCCAGCTGACAACTCCTAAATAGGGTTAAACGCGTGTCAAACTGGTTTCCACTGTCAGCCACTATCCATTTTTGCTTATATAACAACCCTATTATCAATAAATTATCCAAAGGTACAAATGCGTAATGAAGCGAATCCATTTAGTCGTTTACTGTATTCTAAATTTCGTGTAAGTACATTAACTTTCTTGCAAGAATACAATAACTTGAACAAGCGAGTTTCTTGTGAAGGAGATCTGAATTCATTCAGCTTTCTTGAGACGAATAAGTAATGCCTAGTTCTACCAACCATACAAGAAAAACTGGAAATTAGGATAGATAGGAAACTTCAGTTCATAGTAAATACGATCTAGTACATACAAAATATCTTTGCTTATTGTCAATGTATACAACATTAAAAGGTATTTCCTGGAGTTCTATTGTGAAGTAGTGACCAGTGGAGTTGAACCAGATCTGTTGCGAAACAGTATTTCACTGAAGACAATAGTGGATGTGTCGTTCGATTTCGCGGATTAGTTGATATTAGACATTTACACCGTTGGATGCCGGCTCATTGGTCTAAATGTCAAGCGTTCGCGCGCGACACTGATAGGTCGTGGGTTCTAATCTGCAAAGGCGGGACCATGAATAGGTGTCTACAAGTTATTAACAAATATCACTAGTCACTTAAGACAAATTTAAAACATGAAACTTTACAGTAACATTTTAATAGTTGAATATAAAACATCAGATGTTGCTATAGCAATTAACATCTTACCACTATCATTTGGATGATAATATTTTCATTGCTACATGTTCAGATTTCATATAATTCATCTGAACAAAAGCCTCAAACTCGTATAACCTAACACTATTAATTTAATCATTTAGTTTATGAGTCAATTGAAGCTAGACCAGCATGGAAAACCTGGAAGCACTGAAAGGCCATTTCGATTGATTGTAGGAATTCTCAGAAGTGCGCATCCACGATCCCACCTCTAGAGGTTCAAACCTAGGACCTATCAGTCTCGCGCGCAAACGCTTAACCTTTAGACCACTGAGCTGGCTGGAATCCAATGATGTTACTACCTAACTTCAACCAATCCACGAAATCGCGCCACCGTGAATTCAATTATGAAATTATTACATTCTCCACAATGTTGAGCAAATATAATCTGATTGTTAATTTTTGCTGTTTCAGTAAAAGTTTCAGATTTTTCTGGTAAGTGTAATAGGTACCTGTAATGTGTTCACTTGAACAACACGTAATTTTAACGGTGTGTTATTCCTATGAACAAGAATACGGATAGGGATAACCATATGTATTTCAATATTAAATTACAGAATATCTGAGAACCATACAGTAAATACCTCACTGTAAAAAAATATTCCTCAATCGGCTCAGAGTTCGTCGCTTTTTCGTTTCCACATCAATCATTCTCTGTTCTCATTCTCTTCTGTTCGATCTTCTCAAACTCCTACCGCCAGACATTCCACTTTCGAATAATGATTCATACTACTTATATCTGTCAATATCAGTAGCACACACTACGATGTGATTATACCTATTTATGAATTTGATATCTTGAGATACTGCAACGTTCGCTTGATCTTTCATTTTTTCTTTCGAAAGAAATTCCCCAAAGTGTACATGTAATTTCTTGTTTAAGATACCTAGATTCTGACTAATGTATTATTGACAATTGATTGATCACTGGGTGGTGATCAATCTCATACTTGTCTAGTCCTTATTAGTGCAGATCGAATGCTATCGATCATGTTGCAATGCGGCCACCAGTCTAGGTGACTCGACACTGCGGGCACTATGTAATGAGATTAGATGGTGGTTGGAGGTAGTCAACAGGAAACCCTGGACCCGGGTTTCGTGCTACTTGGCACTCGTCAGCAAGGTGTAGCTGTAATCTTGAGGGAACTGGTGCTCCCTGGCGGATTCGATCTCGTGTCACCCAGCTTCACAGTCAGAGACGTTACCACAGCTCGGATAGCTCAGTGGTAACGTCTCTGACTGTGAAGCTGGGTGACACGAGATCGAATCCGCCAGGGAGCACCAGTTCCCTCAAGATTACAGGTACACCTTGCTGATGAGTGCCATGTAGCACGAAACCCGGGTCCAGGGTTTCCTGTTGACTACCTCCAACCACCATCTAATGTATTATTACTTAGACGCCTAGTTTATCTACATCGATTGAGATAATCAACTGATAACATTGGCTTTCTGGAAAATCAGCTTAAAGTCAGTGCTCAATAAATTCAATGCATTATAATAATTGTTGTTCATAATATACTATCGTTAAGTTTTGAGAAACTAAGAAAAAATTAGTCAATATTGAGATTTCGAACCGATCATAGATAGACTACCATTAAAAACTTGGATTCACTAGACAGTCGTTTCGTCCCAGTACGCAACTCCTCAGAAGGACGTATCCACGATCTAGCACTCGGAAAACTAACCCAGGTCTTCTATTCTTATTCACGAACACTTACCCTCTACACCAATGAGCCAACGTCTAATTTCAACTTCAACCAATCCACAAGATTATGCGACTATCTTCCATTGTCTTCAGTGGGTAACTGACTCATAACAGATACCGTTGAACAGCATTAATCATGGCCTCTTACTAGAACTCTGAGAATTCCTTCTTGAAGCTAATCACTAATGATCAAATGATAATCATTTGTATAGATTTATAAAGATCCTAACTAGTACTCTACAGAGAATCTCAAATAAAAGGTAACCAAAATTATGTTCATAATGTTTGGAATTCAACTTTATCACATTGTATGATTACCAATACTCAGCTCAATCTCAACTTTCTTGTAAGTTATTTGTATAATTAATGATTTGTATGAATTATTATTGATATTTGAGTAGAGTAAACATAAATTGATGGATACTTAAGTATACTTATAATCTTTAGATTTGTATAGAGTAAACAATATTTAATAAGTTGTCTACATCATGTTGTGTATTGTAGTGTTGTGATTCTAAACGTTAAATACATATTTCATAGTTGAATTAATGAGTCGATTAAAGATACATCATTATTGGAAAGCTAGATATATTGAACAGTCGTTTCATCCCAGTATGAAACTCCTATGTAGTACATATGCACGATCCCGCACCATAGGGATTCGAGCACAGTACCTTTGATCTCGTGCACGAATGATTAACCTGTAGACCATTGAGTCATCATCTGAAGGTGTTCATGTCTAACTTCAACTAATCCACGATATTTTACTACTGTCCCCCCATTACCTTCAGTGAGTAACTGCCTCACAATAGACATGGATCAACTCCATTGGTCACGGCTTCTCACTAGATCTCCAGGAAATAAATCTTGAAGTCATGATGTTTGTTATCAAAATGAAGGTTTGTAGAGATTGTAGTAATTTATATTCCATACTTCAGAAACAGTAATACTGTACAATACGAAACGAACAATATAGAGAACAAACGGTAGGATGCACCACTCGTTATTCGTATCTTCAAACAATGTACAATATTAGATGATACATGTAATCTGATTGTATGTGTATGATAGTTGTTACCTGGTATATTAAAACTTTATTCTCAATATTATGTAGAAACCTGACAATTGAGAAGCTTTACATTGTTTCTTCTTTTTTGTGTGTGGATTAATATGTTATTTCTACCTTTCTTATACACATATGAATACTGTGTAATGAATATCAATAATGAGTTAGGATCAATTCAATTGTTCACTGCAATTTTGACCTTGAATATATATTAACCAATCAAAACGAAGCGGGAATTATTATTCAAATAAGTGTAATCAGTGATGGAGGGTTTGTTTTGTTCTTTATTGTTTTTACTGACTTACATGAAAAATGTCAAATTTCATGCAATGCAATTACCCCTTCGTCATGCTATGAATATGTCAAGTGTAGTTTAGTTTAGTCATGATGAAACTACAACATACCAAAAGACATACGTGAACTAATTGACTGACTAGATAAGCAGAAACGTAAATGTAACCATTGACTACTATTGACACTTAGATGATTTATAAATGTGCAATACATAGTCCAAGTCTCAATAATGATTATACAATTTCTTTTTTAGGGGCTGGTTTTCCAGTTAAAATCTAATGAACATCATTTACTTATCATGGACATATCATCATGTGTTTTATCTTACGTTTTCGTGAACCTAATTGCTCATTCTTATATTGTTGAATTGTATTTCTAACATTAAGTACACTATGCATAAATATGTATTTCATTATAGTTCAGTGTACCATCTCATTCTTAGATCATGTTAGATGTAGAGAGTGAAAAAGGAGGGGGGATTTCCTTCTGTACAAACCTCAGTGATTGAATTCAAGGATGATTTGAACATCTAATTGTCTTGATCATCAGTGAAAAGTTTCTTTCAAAGCAAGAATGATAAGTTAAATTAAATAGGATCATAAATATTTATGTACTGAACGATTGTTCATATGATAGATGCTGTTATAAATCATGTGATGAGGAATCATTTGAAGTAGATGTTCATCAAGTTACTGTATGAAAATTAATAACCCTAAGACTATGATCATGATCAAATCAGTATATCTGGCTAACGAGTATAAATCCATCCTCTTTATGTAGGTCTATATGGAATTGAATGGATTATTGTGAACATTCCAATAGAATGATTGTGTGACTTTCATTGAACGTGTCGAATAGTCTGATCATTTGTCTTTGAGGATTCTTGGACAAACACGTTGGTGATTTTTTTGCAGGATTAAAAAACTACTTCATAGTAATCGTAATACAATTGTGAAAGTATAGTTTCATAGTACTTAGGAGTCGAATGTATGGGATGAATTCAGTGATAATAGGACATACTATTGTAACAACGGAAAGTAAATATAAAGTTATCATTGCAAAATGTTTGAAACATTCTCAACTTAAATAGTTTTCTACAGAATTGATATCGTATACTACTCCAAACAACTCCGCCTGTAGCTTATCGCATACACAAATGCAGATAAATATAGTCAGTGTAGCAGCAGTCTCTGCATCAGTAGGCCTCAGCATACACAAGGGGAAAACCAAGGTGCTCAAATTGAAAACGAAGAACAGTAATCCAATCACTCTTGATAGCAAAACTCTGGAAGATGTAGAACCCTTCACATATTTGGGAAGCATCATCCATGAACAAGATGGTCCAGATGCAGACGTTAATGCGAGGATTGGCAAAACTAGGACAGCATTCCTACAATTGAAGAACATATGGAACTCAAAACAACTTTCAACCAATATCAAAGTGAGAATCTTCAATACGAATGTCAAGACAGTTCTACTGTACGGAGCTGAAACTTTGAGAATTACAACAACCACCATCAAGAATGTACAGTTATTTATAAGTGATTGTCTACGCAAGATACTCCTCATCCATTGGCCGGATACCATCAGCAACAGCCCTTTCTGGGAGAGAACGAACCAGCTTCCCTCTGAAGAAGAAATTAGGAAGAGACGATGAAAATGGATGGGACATGCATTACAGAAACCATCAAACTGCATCACGAGGCAAGCCCAAACATGAAATCCTGAAAGGAAGCGGAAAAGAGGAAGGCCAGAAGCAGATATGAAAAGGACGAATGGAAACTGAAAGGAGCCAGAAAGGATTTCCCAGGACAGGGTTGGATGGAGAATGCTGGTGAGCGGCCTATGCTCCTTTGCGAGGAGTAACAGGCGTAAGCAATTAAGTATGTACTGCTCCAAACATTTAGCTTACAATACACTCTTTACTAATAGTCTAGGTTACAAAAAACCATAGATGATAGTTGAAATTTGAGTATTCTACTAGCTTGGTGTAATAAGCAAAGCAATTTGAAAAGTTTGAATGTTTTCACCACGAATTGACATCAGCTATAAGGCCAAAAATAGCATTTAGCCAAATGGGTGAATGAATTTCGCGCCAAAATTCAAGATCTGTTATCTTAAATGTGATTGGTTCATCCATAAAGTGGTAGTTTCACCGAATTTTATTCTCTCTATTTCTTTCTTAAGTGAAGATCCAGAAATAGGAATTGTCACTAGTTTCAGGTAATCAATTTGAAGTACTGAACATGTATAGGTCATTTCAACTGGAAGGCATATTATTTTTAAATTAAATTTCGAAACTCACTGGAATCCAACTTATATAATGAATTTAACTGCTGGTCCTAGGTTGGAGTCTTGTGCACGAGCGCGTGCATGTACACTTTTGAGATGTTCCATACTGGAAAGAAACGGCCCTCTCGAAGAGTATAATTGCTACTAAGCAATAGTCACAATTAAACAATTTTAAATATAGCTGTATCAAACAAATATCAATTATTCACAATCCATCAGTTAGTTTAAAAACTGTTAATCCGGTGTATGCTACTGATTTCAACAGATATAAGTAGTATATATCATCAATCTAAAGTGAAATGTCTGGCTTTAGAAGTTTAACAAGATCAAAGAAAAGAGAACGAGAACAAAGAATACTTACTATAGAAACAAAAGATCAATAAACTCTGAGACGATGGATTGACATTTTGTCAATGAATTGTTTACTGAAGAAAAAAACATTATTAAGCACAAATGGATAGTGGCAAGTAGTGGAATCCAGTTTGACGCGCGTTTCGTTCAATTTGAGACTCGTCAGCTGGATGTCGGTAGGTCTGGGATGCAGGTGCATCCAGCTGACAAGTCCCAAATAGGACGAAACGCGCGTCAAACTAGATTCCATCACTCACCACTATCCATCTTTGCTTAAAATAAAGCTTGTCACTTAAGGCAATATCCAGGCAAACCGCACATTATGCACATATGCCAACATGAGACTGATCAATTGAAGTCCTTAACAACGATCGGGAGATTGAAGTGAAACAACACCAAGTGAATTTAAGAAAACATTGTTATTATTATTATTATTATTATTATTATTATTATTATTATTATTATTATTATTATTATTATTATTATTATTATTAAAGGGATTCACTTCATTTGATAGCAATACATTAAGAGTGATGATGAAATAGTTTTATCCAGTTGGAATTAACTGACAAACCAATCACTGAAAGACCAAACATGACATAATTCTTACTGATCATAATAATTATAAGAAAGAAACATTACAATAACATAATGGTTCATGGAAGGTAAATAATCAGTTCTTCATTCCCATATTGGATCATTGTATTGAGAAGAATGTTATAATACAATGTAACCTTTAAAAATGGCAGCATAGGGTAATTTACATTATTAGATACAAGTGTAGTGTAAAGTACCTTTCTAAGATGAATTATCTTTTCAAAACATTTGGAGTAAGACAATGAATATGCTTTTGACTGAGATCATTAACCTATTGATGTTAGACAATCATTAAAAACCTGGAAGTTGAATCTCTAGAGGTTAAGCGTTCGTGAGCGACAATGAAGGTTCTGGATTCGAATCCTGCGAGTGGAGTCGTGGTTACGCACTGCTGGAGAGTTCGACAATAGGACTAAACGCTCGTCCAGTACTTCCGAGTTCTTAATTGTGGTCTAACATCAATCGGTTCATGACCTCAATAAGAACTAAAAATTACATAACTGATTTGCAAATTTCCATTATTTATCCTTCATATTCTATATGATTCTTTCAGTCTACAATTCTTTTCTTTTTTCCCCTTCAAATCGCATCAACTCAATCTTATTAGCCTTTTGTTGCCAGGTTTTCTATTTCTGACTGATGTTACATACTACTTATATCTGTCGATATAAGTAGCATACATTACAATACATATTTCCTTTGCTAAACAAAAGAAAACATTTCAGAATAGTTGACCTTTTGAAAGTGGTTATAACAATAAATATAAGTTTTTCCTTTGTTACTATGTAAATAACTTACATCATATTTGAAAATTTGCTGATTTTTATAGAATAGAAAAGAGGCGTTTTCAAATTATTACATCATTCACCATTGTATCAATGTTTTAATGATATGAAGCAGTGAATGGCTGTTTCGTCTTAGTATGGGACTTCTTAGTAGTGTGTATCCACGATCCTAAACCAAAGTGACCCAGGACCTATCGGTCTCGAGCACGAACGCTTAACGTCTAGATCACTGAGCTGATCGGAATTCAACGGTGTTAATGTCTAACTTTAATCGACTCATGAGTTTAACTACTAGATTACTACAATCTCCACAAAACCCCTATCTGATAATATCTGTAAACGTTATGCATAGGTTATAAGTTGTTATTTCTCACATTAAACCTTGAATCTATTTTCTAATTATAGGGCCTTAGACTTCATTCTTAATTCGTTTCCACACCAATCATTCTCTGTTCTCGTTCTCTTCTCTTAAACTATCTACTGCCAGACATTTCACTTTCGATTGATGATATATATTACTTATATCTGCTGACATCAGTGGCACACACCACACCATAAATATATTAAGTGATTGACGGATTATGACAATCATATGTCATTGATGAATTTTCTCGTTTCATGATTAATGGGACAAGCAATTTAGAAATGAAGCTAATATGGACTTGAATATTAGTTGCCATTTTTAGGTAATATTCCTTATCATTACAAATAAGTATAATTATACAATTTAAAAGTAAAGACTGACACTGAAAGTCCTGTGTTCGAATCTCACATAAGAGATCGTGGATGCTCACTGTTCAGGAATCTCATACTAGCACAAAACGCCGTTCCATGCATCTAGGTTTCCAACGGTAGCGTAACATTAATTCATTCATGATCTCAATCAAAAGCTCAACTGTCTTCACAACACCATTTTAAGAAAGTTATAACTTACCAAATGATATTACGTTGATCGGAACATTCTAGACATTTGACCAACATCATAAAAATGGCTGAATTTATAGTTCGGCAAATATATTTAAGAAAACTAATAATATTTAAAAAGGAGTGGAGAATAACTCGTTTTGTGATAAAGATGTTAGACCACTGTTGGAAATCCGGAAGTCCTGGACGGCCATTTCGTCCTATTGTGGGACTACTCAGCAGAGCGCATCCACGGTCCCACCTCTCGAGATTCTAAACCAGGACCTACTTTACCACTGAGCCGGCATCCATTTGTGTTAGTGTCTAACATTAACCAATCCACGAAATCGCGCGACCATCTTCCATTGTACTGAGATAGATACCTATCACTACCCAACACGGGCTAGCTCCACTGGTCAAGAACACGAGTGTGTTCAATCGAATGTATTTGAGCCGACACTTACAGAGCATCTCAATAACATCTGGAAACCATA